TATTGTATAGAGGCGGTAATCACTAAATGAAATAAATTAGACTTAAACACACTGAAGCAGTAATTAAATGTGGTACATTTTTAGCTTTTCATCTGTTTTTCTTGAAGAGATGTTCTCAGCATTTTGTGTTCCTGGCACCCTTCTGAGTCTCATGTACTTCTGTGACACCCCCCCCCCCCCAATAATTAACTGGGAAAAAAGCAGTGCTTTTTTTGTAAAAAAAAAAAAAAAAAAAGGTGCCTGAACTCACACACATCATACAACCTGCCTTGCCTACCCTAAAAGGCTTACCTTTGTAGTTAAAAAAAACACCCTTCAATTTTTAGTGTATCTAAAAGATTAGGATTTTGTTCAAGGTACAGTAAGTTAATGCTATTAATGTTACCATGCACTGTATGGCTTTAAATTACAAGAATGCATTTTATTAATCTTTTGGGACATTTACCCCTGGCATACCCATTTAGTTTAATGAATGGAAATGTCAGCTTTCTATGTGAAATGAAATTGGCCCAATAAAACAAAATTTGGTTGCTTCTAAAAGATTGAATTATTTTTAAGAAGTTTTTAAACAAGGTGGAAAAATTTACATTTGGAGTTTAATATGGATATTGACTTGAAACAAATTAAAGTTGAAGCTTTGTCAGTGAACAGATTACTTTTAATTTATCTTTAAGTTAAACCCAATTTAATAAATAGATCTGATTAAATCTCATATTATAGGTCTACCTTTACATTTGATGAATACATAATTAATATATATTATTAATAATAATAATACCTCCAAATCATAAGACATTGGCTTTATTCTTATTCTTCCCCTCTGCAGTTTGAATATAAAGTATAAAAGATTAAAAAGAGATTTTTGTAGATATCCCAGCCTTTGAATTATCCAAGGAACTGAAACTGCAAAGTTTTGCTGTCGGGCAAGCTTCCACACCAGCCACCTTTATTTTATTTATTATTTATTATTTAAATTTATATACCGCCCTATCTCCCTTACGGGACTCAGGGCGGTGAACAGGCAATAATAAAAATCACAATAAATATTGAATAAAAAGCCTGCTCTAAAATACCCCATATAAAACCCCTAGCAAAGCCCAATCAAAACTACGCCAGGCCGGCCGCATGGAATAGATGGGTTTTCAAGGCNCCTTGAAGCGCACCCGGAAGGCCACCGGCAGCCAGTGCAGCTCGCGCAGGAGAGGTGTTACATGGGAGTATCTAGAGGCCCCCAAAATCCCCCGCGCGGCCGCATTCTGAACTAGCTGGAGCCTCCAGGTGCACCTCAAGGGGAGCCCCATGTAGAGAGCGTTGCAATAGTCCAGGCGGGAAACGAGGGCTTGAGTGACTGTACGTAGGGCGTCCCGATCCAGAAAGGGGCGCAACTGGCGTATGAGGCAAGCCTGATATTTCTTTCCTCTCACTTCACCTCTTTTTAACCTCACACCCCACCTTCTGTAAGGGAAGGCAAAAATCTCACTCACCATCTTGTGAAAGATGGCCTCCATGTTTATGTGTCTCCCACTGCCACCATCGGCTTCCACACCACATGGTCTGACCCAGCCAATCAAGCCACACTCTGGCTGTGGTGCTCCAGCGCCTCATGGCTCTTCCTAGAGGAGGCAGACAGCACCGGAGGAGACCCTGCTTGGGTGGGCTCACACCATACTGCCACGGGGCATTTTCAAAAGTAAACAAGGATAGGAAGGGAAACAATAGGAAAAGAACGCAACTCTGGAAAATCCATCGAAAAAAGGTGCCACAACTCTGTTCCGGTGTGTTCTATGACAAAAAAAGCCCTGGAAAAAAGTACCTTACCATGTTAACTATTTATTAATTTAAACTATATTATATCAAAAATGTGGTCCCCCAGAAATGGTGTCCCCAAAGAGGGGTATATAGTCCACTTGAAGCCGTAGAATAAATGAACATTGGAATTAATGTTATACCTCGCTGCCAATTTGTAATTTTGAAAATTCTTCCTGAAAATTCCAAACTTAGAGACTGGAAGAGCATTTGAGATCTCTCTTGTCTTCCCACCAACTTTTGCTAACAGCATCTTGCTGCTTTTCTCTTGGAGTTGTGCTTCCCCCTTGCCCCATGAATTTCTAAATTTCTTTTATTTGAAACAGGTAAGAATAGGGCACAAGGTAACAAACATCCAGGTAAGGAAGTGGTAGAGTAAGTAGATGCAGTTATAGAAAAAATAATAATTAGGGAAGTATGAAATGTAGAAAAAAATATGACTGGAATAGCAAGAGTCATGCTCTGGGCCCCAAACACAAAATATTCTATAAATGAAAGATGGGGAGCAAATAGAATAAAAAGAAGTTTCTCAAAACTGCACTTTTCACTATTTGAAGACATTCTTGGGGTTAGAAGGCTTGAAGTTAGGGAGTGAGGAGAAATTCAAAGGTAGCCAGAGCAGTACAATTTTCAAGAGATTCCAGTACCACCCAGCATGCCGTCTTAACCAACGTTTAAGCTACAATGAGCCACTCATTATAACAATGTTGAGAGTTTTCATCTAATCCCTTATTGTGTTGCTATAAATGCACCTTATTTAACAAACACTTTATAAGTAATTATATTCTACATGGATTTTCAATCCCAGTGAACAGGTTGTAATGATAAACTAGTATTTATTCAGTAGAATGTATAATTTTCACATTAAACTCAAATTAGATGCATATTTAAAGTTTTAATTTTAGGCAACAGCTGATGCCTGGTGAAAAACTGAGGGTGGGGAGAGAAATACAAAACCCTGCATTGCACATGCCATATTTTTGGTCTTTATGAAATTTTTAATTACGAAGGAAATTTGCATGAGAACAGGAACATTGTTAATACTTCATTTCCCACCTGAATTAGTAATGGCAGATAAATCACTGAGTAACACAGATTACATGAAAAGCAAGACAAATAACTAATGCTCAAAACAACTAATTCTGGAGATGGCAGATGAAACAGCATGGTGATGGGGTGGCACATGATTCCTGCTTCTCACCTATATGAAACTTTGATCTTCCAAACTTTGGAACAATAACTGATATTTGTTGGGTTCTTTCAGATGGAAGGAGAAAAGTTCATCATGTGGTTGTAAGGTGTCATAATTTTGTCCACTAAAATAATATTGGATATTGTAAAATATAATCATGGGTGAAAGTTAGCTACTGCAAACTGAACTAACTAATTTCTGAAATCAGATACATGATATAAAACACATTTAAACAGTCCAATTTAAAAATTGCCATTATTATCACTGCTCAGTAGGTAGGGTACAAATTTCATAAATCAAGTAAGTCTAAGGATTATAATAGAAATTGGAAATGTATCCTTATGACAACTGTAGTTGCAGTAAAACCACTTAAAAAAACTTGTTAATGTCTAGGATCTTACAAAATGTCAATATATCAGAACATGTGAAATCTTAGGAATAAGAAATCTTCTGAACTTTCCTAACTTGCAAGATTTCACTGTTCTGATTTGAAATGTTGACTCCCGCTGCTGTGCATTATTTTACCAGGAATATATAAAACTAAATTTTACTTATTTACAGTTCACCAAATAGATATCCCGTATGTCTTAGAAATAATGAATAAGAATAATTTAAAGTCCAAAAAATAATACAACAGAATAGTATATGATACTAGCACAGTGAAATACCTTTTTTTAATAAATAAAAGGCAATGCAATTTAAATTAGGAATATTGTATTAGGATAAGAGAGCTTATTTTTTTCCCTCTCATGCATTCGAACACACAGTGCATACATGGGAAGTTGTGTCTAAAAAAACTTCCAAGGTGGTCAAATTATTTATTTTTATATTCCACCTAGCTATTATCTCCCCAACATTTTATTTAATTTTTTTAAATGAGCAATATTTCATAAATTCATCAAATGTCATGGATTTCAGCAATCTTATATTTAATTTTGAACCAGAATGCCATAATTGTGAGACATCTTGTGAATGAAAACATCTCACTGAAAATGCTGCATTCTTAAGAGATTTCAGTTTTCTCATGAAATCATGCAGTGATATTACTAAAACCTTGCAATACTTATCTTTGTGTTTTATTTTTAAGACTCCCTGGGTTATTACACAGCATAACAGTATGGACAAAACTCATTTTGGAGAGAGATAATTTTCCAGAGGATGGGCTCCAGCACAAGTCCAAAAGCTTGGAGGAAGAGAATTCTGGGCCTGGTGGCTGACTCATATTGGAACCTGCAACATTAACCTGGGACACGTATATTTGCCTTCATTCGTGATAGACAAAATAATTTATGGCTTCAAACCATGTAAGAGTTTGAAATACAACTGATGAACTGCTGTAACTGCTGAAATATATAAATGTTTATTGAAATTTGAAATAGAAAATAGTAGTATTTTAACCCAGTTAAAGGTCATGGCAACGAGAGCTTTAGTAGTATATCGATCTCAGATTGAAAATATAAGTACAAGATGGAGTAAGTACCTAAGGATTAGAAATTTTTAAAACAAAATTAAGCACCTTAATTTTGGCATTTTGGTTTATACCTCCCATCTCTTTGCTGCATCTCTGGGGACACGCAACTCTTATTTGCCACTCTTGTGCAGCCAGATATTCTCCCTGTAACCTTGGCTTGGTTTGGATTGGATTTCCTTGGTTTAATCAACAGATCTTGATTACTTACCTAGCTTTAACTTACTTCCTTTGGGCCATTGCTTCAGTCTGTTTCAGCTCCTAAGTTATTTTTTGTTGCTATGAACAATGTATAAGACAATTTCAGACTTTTAACCTGAAGCAGCTTTGGCTATCATTCAAAGAGAGATGCTTTATTTTGATCTAAACAAGTACTTATTGGGAATGTTTATGTATTCAATTAATAATATTTTCGCTAAATAAAAAAAAATATGTATAGCCTGCCTTTTTTCCCATTTAGAATGATGATAAGATGCAGCAGCTTTATTGTATCTTAGCAGAATTTTTATGAGAGCATTATTTTATACTTCTTACCTTTAAAGAAAACGAAGTTTCCATCACTGTTTTCATAAACTGCATCAATGCTTGCAGGCAGCCCCCTCCAGAAGTAGGTAATCTGCATGGGGTATCCATCCATCACCCTGTTATTTCTGACTCGCCAAAACCACTGATCCTAGAAATAAGCAAATGCACCTCTGATGATATTTGGAGGCATCTGTGATCACAATAGTTAGAGAGAAACAAAATTTCATTAGCATTACCTTTGGACAAAATTTGAATGTTTCTCTGATTAGCCTTGGCCTATAAACTTTAAAATTAATAAAGGTCCAGTACAAACTGGAACAATATTTCCTATCCAGGATAGATTGGGAGGCTGTTTTCTATGTCTCTTCCCATTTTCCTAATTTATTCCCTTCTTGTCCATGATTTCACACTTAATCAGGGTGAACACACACCTCTGATAATGAATGGCTATAAACTTCTTGCAAACTTGAATTATGGGCCAACTGTAATTTGCATTAATTATGATCGGAGCAAATAGACATACACTGAGTAATTCATTCTGAAGTTGAAGCAAGCTGCCTCTTTGTATCTTTTTGCTAACCTATATGACCATACTTATTTATCCATCCCTTTAATTGTTCTCTTTAATGTTGTGGGGTTTTTGTGTGTTGTTCTTTAATGTTTTTATGGATGTTTTATTGTACCTTTGTAATCTGATCACAAGTTTTTAGGAAGTAAGTGGTAGTCCCCTTTTCCAAATTAATGTTGTATCACAGTTGTAACAAATCATTGGGAAAGACGTATCTTTTTATAGGAAAAAATGGATGAATCTACATTGTTATTTATCTTAGCCCTGGTTTGGTGATGTAGAAAACTACATTTCCATCTGAGCCCCAGCTAAACCTAGATTTAAATACTTTTAGAAAAACTATATCCTTGATTTTTTTAATAATAAATAACACGTTCAGTGGAAAAGTAGAAACTCTGACAATATCTATGCATACAATAAACTTCCAACTCAGAAAGAAATTTCAGAGTAAGTAAAAGTGAAATGAAAAATTACAAACACATTTGATAAATGATACAGATCACTTTGAAATTCATTTTCACTGAACTGTGCTTCTAGATAGATCAAATGATAAAAAGTAATATTTAACTGCTAATTCCTTACTTTGTTAATAAAGCAGTTTTATTTACAATACCTGATGAATTGGCTTTATTTAAAAATATGCATACCAACACTTTCACATAGTTTTGTCCCTGTAAATTTAGAAATTGCTTGTACAGTCTATACTTGATAACACCATCTTTCTCCTTTTTTAACAGTTTTACCATCTGTTGCATGTATAAATGATCCCTGTATGGGTATTGATCAAAATAAAGTGAACATATTAACATACAGTGATCCATATATCAGCTACTAGATAAAGTTGTCACAATATTGTAAATTATTTTCCATATATTTGTTTCAATTTTTTGAAATCTTGTAGATGAATAGTAATCTTTGGGCTATATTTTTTATTATAAATAGTTATATATTCTCTGCCTTTCTCATTACTTGGAAAAATGTAAAAATGCAAACAATTGGTCTGTGCTGCAGAACATAAACAAATGTAGCCTGCCTAGAGTCATTGAGTGAGATGGGTGGCCATAGAAATTGAACAAGCAAGCAAGCAAGCAAGCGAATGAATGAATGAATGAATGAATGAATGAATGAATGAATGGAAATGTATCCTTGAATTGATTGGTTAATATTGTGAATGTAATATTGGAGTTATTCCTCATGCTGAACATCCTTTGTATTTCCTGGAAGAAGATGAGAGTGAGGTTGATGTGCCCAGCAGTGAGTGGTACCAGAAAGGAAGACCAATAAAGAGAACAATACTAGTAGCTGTAGTAACTTCACACACTTGTAAAAAATGAAATTGTCTTCATCATGTTGAGATATGAATTCCTTATGGTGAATTTTGATGTAATTTTTAAATCACAAATATCTATTATATATTGCAGTAATAAAAATAGTTCTTTGTGATGGATGTTCTTAGGACATCCTTTACTATCCTAGATGTAGTACACTACAAGTCAGTAAGGTAACTACAGACTAGAAAGGCATTTACTGTATAATTCGGTCAGTGGTGGGATTCAAATATATGAACAACCGGTTCTCTGTGTGGATGCCACTTCCGGAAGTCCATTCTGGATCTGGGCAACAAAAAATTATCTACCGGTTCTGCTGAACTGGTGAGAACTGGTTGAATCCCACCACTGAATTTGGTCAATTAATCAGTATCTCTTGCATCTGTTAATGTATTTAAATTTAAATACAGCATGCTCCGCAATTACTTTCATGTGATGGTTAAAGATTAATTCTTTAATTCTTTTCAAATAAAAGTTACAACCTTACAAAAATAAAATCTAATTCATAACAATAAATTTAAGTTTGTTGTGTTTCTATAAACAATTATGTTGAGCCTGCCATACAATAACTGAGATCCTGTACGATCTAAGCATTATATCCAGTTAAGTAAAGGGTCTGTAGGTGCGCCTGTGAGGGTATGGGATAAACAGAACTAAGTACTCCTTGAAGCCCATTCATCAGTTTACTATGGAAATGCTTTTTCTAGACCCAGTGTTCTATTGCAGGAGTGGTATCAGGCAGCAGTAAGGTTGGATGTCGAGCTTGCTCATTATAAGAAGCCACCACCGCAGGAAGCTGGGCCAAAACCAGAACAGACCAGGTGGCCGCCTCCCCGAAAAACTCCAGCCATTGCAGCCATGGAATACCCCAAGCCACTGCCGGTACACCAATCAAGTGTTTCAAATGTGGGCAACAGGGACACCGAGCGGCAAGCTGCCCGGTCCCATATCCCCAACAGCAGAGCAGATCGGGGCCATCAGTGTGGAAGAAACCAGCCCAGCAGCCAATGAAAGAGAAGTCAAACTGGATCACGCAAGAACCTGTTGCCCAAGTCATGTCACCCACTCAGGAGACCACTGAGGCCCAAGCTGGACATGCTACCGCTCTACCCTCCTATGATAGCGATGACAAAGAGGAGAATGACCCGATGGTGAGTCAACCCATTCCACCTTTGTCTCTTGTTGCCAAACTCATAGTCCCCAAGATGGGTGTACAAGTGGATTTAAGAGTGCTAGTGGATTCAGGATGTTCCTGGTGCGTTATCAGCCTGCCACTTGCCATTAAATTGGGTATACAGGCAAGATTGCCTTCCAAGCCCATGAAATTTGAACAAGCAGATGACCCCTTAATGGGAGGAACTTTAGTCACACAACTGACGGAGCCTATACGCTTAGAAATAGGTGATCATTGGAAGTTCATCCATTTCATGGTGGCTCCGAAGATGACTTAGGTGGTGATTTTAGGTCTAGACTGATCAGATAAATGGAAACCTTTCATTTGGTGGGAAAAGGGGATGAGGACTGTGAGATTGCCATAGGGCCCAAACCCCCTCTTAATTCAGCCAACGTTACTGGAGGGTCTAGGCCATCGACCGAGCTAGCAGAGATAGCTACCATACCCCAGCCAGGCGAGCCACTCATCCCCAGCGAGTACCGGGATCTAGTGGAAGTACTTAGCAAAAAAGAGTGTGATGTCCTGCCACCCCATCGACCCAATGACTGCGCCATAGAACTATTACCGGGTGCTAAATTCCCAAAGACAAGAATGTATGCCATTGCCCCCTCTCGAAATGGATGAGCTGCAGCAATATGTGAACAAAAACCTAGCAAGAGGATTCATTGAGCTGGCCAAATCTCAAGTGTTTACTGTTCCTAATATAGCACTTGTCTCAAACATAGTTTCTAAAATTTCTTTGGTTTGCTAGCTACTTTAGTTATTCTGTGTTGCAAGACATATGGAAGTACTTAAAGAAGGACAGTAAAGCAATTTTCTGGATTAATTGCCTAACTTCTAGGATACGAAAATGCAAAAAGGCAAAATTAAATTCTCTCGCAAAGAAACAAATATCTAAGAAGACCTCACTGAATTGTAAAAGCCAGCAGAGATGACAGCCAGCTAAAATTTTATTTAAAGGCAGTTACTGATTAGCACAAATCAGTTATCTGTTCCCATGAATTATTTAATTCATGAATTTAAACAGTCAATTCATAAAAGCCACAGGATGACTTTGGGCCAGTCACTCTTTCTCAGCCCAACTTACCTCACAGGGTTATTGTTGTGGGGGGAAAAGGAAGAGGATGTGTGTTGGATATTTCACTATCTTGAGTTATTTATAAAAACAATAAATGCAGGATATAAATAAATAAAAATAAAATTTTCCCCATAAAAACAGCCAGTCTTCAAAGAAATCCAAATTTGTTCACAATACAGTCTGAAATCATTTGTACATTTACCCCTTCGCTTGCTTTTTCAATATTTTTTAGAAAAGGTAACTAACTCTGCTCACACTCAGAATCCTTGCTGGTAAGGATTTGCAACTATAGATTCAGCTGATTTTTGAAATTAGCCCTTACATGTATATCTGGATATTGCATCAGATTTATGCCGTTGTTTTATACTCTTGGCAACTCTTTTCTCATACACACAGAATATATATTCTACATTCTTTGGGAATCTTTGGTTTTAAAAAGGACTTCCCTATGTAATGTAGATAAATAAATAAACAAATAAGCAAGTTTCTGTCTTAAAACTTTTGCTATGTTTATCATCATCAGCATTAAAGGTAAAGGTTTCCCCTATCAGTCAAGTCCACCTCTATGGTGCTCATCTCCATCTCTTAGCTGAGGAAAGCAGCATCGCTTCCATGGTCATGTGGCCAGCCTGACTATACACTGAGGCACGTGGAATGCCGTTACCTGTCTACCAAAGTGGTACCTGTTTGTCTACTCACATTTGCATGCTTTCAAATTGCTAGGTGGGCAATTGCTGGGGCAAGTAATGGGAACTCACCCTGTCATATGGCACTCAGGTGTCGCACCTGGGCTGTCAGCTTTCTAGCTGATGAACTTAGCGTCTTTAACAGCTAGGCCACCTTGCCTCCTCTTCAGCATTAAGGTTATCCAAATGTGTTGTGTTGGGTCTTATTGCTAGAATTCCTAGGTGACTAAGCTGGCTTAAAATCTTGTTGCCCTGACACATCTGGAAAAATGAGATTAGGAAAGGGCTTTTCACTTAAGCATTAAAAAATGGAG